TTTTTTTTTTTTTTTTTTTTTTTTGGTATAGATGATTGAACCAGGACCTTTGCACCATCCTACAACCTCAGCCCTTGTTAAAATTTTATCTTGTTAGTAGTAGTTTCTGTCTTTTTTTTTTTCTTATACCAGGATTTGAACTCAGGACCTTGTGCTTGCAAGGCAGGCTCAGTGCCACTGAGCTAAATCTGTGACTTTAAAATTTTATTTTGAAACAGGGCCTTGCTAAGTGACTAAGTTGCCTACTCTGGTCTTAAACATGTGACCCTCCTGTCTCAGCTTCTCTGAGTGCTGGGATTATAGTGTGTTCTACCGTAGCTGCCTGTCAGTGTAATTTTAAGTTGCACTTTGTTTATGAACAATCTTGAGCATCTTTCCTATGTTTATGCGTTATTTGCATCTTTTATTAATTTTCAAACAAGTTTTTAGCCGTTTTCTTCCTCCTGCTTTGGTGCGCGCGTGTGTGTGTGTGTGTGTGTGTGTGTGTGTGTGTGTACGCATGTCCTTGAGATTGTACTCAGGGCCTTGCATTCTTCCAATGAGCTATAGCACCTGCCTATCTATCTATCTATCTCTATTTACCTACAATATATTATTAGCTAGAGAATTACCTGCAAGTAAATTCTCCTGATTTCTCACATCTTTTGAGTTTGCTTATTTTTCAAGTGTTAATTCTCCATTCTAATTAGGGATTTTTTAAGCCACGTAACTCTGGATTCAATTTTGAGATTTTTTTCTTTGCACGCCTGTATTCAAATAATACCAAGAGTTGATGTTTTCTTCATCTCAGTATTTCATGAATCTCCCAATGTTTTTTCCCCGCCGATCCCTGGCTAATAACCCAGTGTCCACATGACTTGGGGATGTGTCACAAACCGTTCTCCTGGTTTCAGATTTTTTGATCCCTCACTGCCTTTTAATATCGTTCTGCAAGATTTTGTGGCTCTGTTTATATTTTTAAGAAATATTTTCCTCTGTTCTTCAGTTTGAATAATTTCTGTTAACCCATCTCCAATGTAAGCAATGCTTTGCTGTGTCATTTACATCCTAGAGTTAAAATTTTCAACTGAGTTTTAAATTTCACATAGCGTATTTTTCAGTTCTAGAATTTCCATTTGCTTCTTTCTGTATTTCTCTTTTCTTGCTGAAATTTCCTGTCTTTTTTTTTTTAATTTTATTGAGTTTATTGGTACATTTTAGGGATACAGTACAGTTACATTCATTGTTGGGATCATGTACCTCTACATGGCAAGTCTTGATTCTCATTTTTTCCCCTTACCTCTGCCCTCCCTTCACCCCCTCCTCCCCTCCCCATCTACAAACACTTTATTTTCATCTTTTCATTATCTCACATTTTTTTCTTTTCCCTTTTTGTTCTTCCCCTACGTATCACACCTTCCCTACACCTTTAGCTCCTTTCTTCTAATTTCTAAATGTCAGTAATCTTATTAGAATCTTATGCATTGTTGCAGAATATTCACACCAGGGAAACTATTTGGTATTTACACATGTGTGACTTATTTATTTCACTTAGGAGTATATCTTCAATATGTATCCATTTTCCTATGAATGAATCTA